GCAAGGTCGCTCTGCCATCTCGCGTGAGACCCGCTTCTGCCGTCGCTCGCTTGCTCCCGCACTGGTGCACATGCTGCTCCTGCCGGCGCAAGTGGCTGCTGCTCTTGCTGCCGCTCCTTGCCCGCTGCACCGGGTTCCTCTCGGCTGGCTCCCCCTGGCGTCGGACCTCCACGGTGGCTCCTCTGGCACCGGCACCGCTGGGCGGGGGGAGGGGGAGGGGGAGGAAGAGAAGCACATGGAGGAGGAGGAGGAGGAGGAGGAGGAGGAGGAGGGGAAGGAAGAGAACCAAATGGAGGAGGAGGAGGAGGAGGAGGAGAACCAACATGAGTGCGTGCATAATGACGATCGCGTGGGGGAGGAGACGCCCCGGCCGTGGGCGTCGGGCTCTGTCCGCAGGCGCCTCTCGTGGCGACGCCTCGACCGTGGGCGCGCCTTCGGCGCAGGGGGCCCTGGAGGCTCCAAAGGAGCTGCGCGGAGTGCCGACGTGCCAGTATAGTGTGGAGTAGGTGGAGGCCGCCTAGACAGCAAGCATCCTCTGACGTCGTCGTGAAGCACAGAGAATAGAGGCCACCCCGCCATGCGTCCGACGCGCTCCCTCCCCCATCGAGTGTCCGGAGGAGGAGCAGGAGGAGGAACAGGAGGAGGAGGGCCATTGGTCTGGGATTGGTCTGCTGGGCGCTCATGTCGCGGCTGCAGCAACACAGGCGGGTCAGCCTAGTACCACCCTGCGCGAGATATGCCGCAGTTTATTGCCTCGTCGAGGCGGCGGAGACGCTGGCGCGGGCTTTCAAGGATGAACCCCTCCAGTAGCCTGAACCAGGCGACTTTTGAGCTATCCCCGTTGCTGGGTAGCGGAGATCGATCAAAATTGAGCGATCCACGCGGTGCCCTCGGTGTGAGGAGGAGGAGGAGGAGGCCCTCCTCCTCCGCCTGGATTATACTTCTCCCCCTCTCCTTCTCATTCGCGCCCGACATCCATGTGGACACGGCCTGAGCCAGCCATCGGCTCTGTGCGAGGGCGTCGCCCCTCCCACAATCGCGGTAGTCGACCCCCTCGGGGGTGGAGGGTTTCTCCGAAGGGCATAGGCGACCCCTCCTCATCCTCCTCCTCCTCCTCCTCCTCCTCCTCCTCCTCCTCCTCCTCATCCTCCTCCTCCTCCTCCTCCTCCTCCTCCTCCTCCCCCTCCCCCTCCTCCACCTCCTCCTTCTCGGGTCGCCTACGGCCCGGGGGAAACCGTGCACCCCGGGGACTTCGGAGCATTCGCCCCACAGGGCTCGACTGCAGGGCTTGTCCACTCGCATCGACCGTCGCAGGGGCACCGAGCGCAGGGTACAGGAGTGCCAGGTGACGCCAAGGAGGCCTCGGCGTCTGGCTCTTCCGAGCGGCGACTCTTGCGCAGCAGTCTTCGCACTCCATCGACTTGCCAGATGTCGGCTCGCTCGCAATCGGACGAGGAAGCGGAGGAGGCTAAGGAGGAGGAGGAGGAGGAGGAGGAGGAGGAGGTCGAGGAGGAGCGGGGTACGGCTCGCTCTCTGTAAGTATGAGTTGTTACAATCGTGATGCCGTCGGCTTGTTCGTGAGGCTTCACTGCGAGGTCCGACTCCCTCGCTGGTCCTGCTGGACCCTCCGCAACAGACGTGTTGCCGTCAGCTGTGAGCAGCTGCCAGCTGTTAGCTCCCGGCTTTGCTCTATGGTCATCCTGCGTGCTCCCAGAGAAGGTCGCTTGCCGATCCTAGACTTCGTGCTCGGGTGGCGCACACCTCATTTCTCGCGATGCGAATTCCATTGTGCCCACATGCCCTCAAGGTCGGGCGGGTAGGGCCGTCAGGATTGGTGCCACCAATGACTGCAAGCTCTGCGACTGGGAGCGCTACTCTTCCCCCACCTGCGGACCACTGTGGGCTGCAGCCCAGCAGTCACAGTGAATTGGCTTTGGCAGCCCACCGTACCGCTACTCAAATGTGGTCGCGTACAGTTTTGCGTGAAATGCCACATGCTTTTTCCAGGGAGCAAGCTTGCACACGAAAGCTAAAATCCAGCTTCTCCAGCGTGCGCGAGCTCGTCAACGCGCTCCTGTGAGACGTCAAATCACTCCGTGGAGTAGAGCCGTCTGCGAACGCTTCTCCCGCGATGGCTCAAGGATGATCCCGTTCCACCAGGACCTCGCACGACGCACTTGGGGCATCCAGAAGTGGCACAGGATCGTCCTTTGTTGTCTGTCACACATCGATAATCAAAACGTGGGTTCGGGGTTGCACCCTGCCCCTGCACATGCCTGCTGCGTAAACGCTTGCTGTAGCCATGCGCACACCGCATGTACTGTCAATGTATGGCCGCTCCCCGTGCTTTTGGCACGACCCCTGTGATGCTGAGCCGCCCGCCTTGCTGTGCGCTCTCCGGGTAAACAACATCCGCATCGAAATAGATTGCTTTGCTCCTGCACTCCAGATTTCTTCCTGCTTAGCGCAAGCCTGGCCTTCTAGCCCACTGTGTGTGGCGAGCCAGGCTAAAAATGATGCTACTCCCCGGTCGGCTGGCGGTGGCCCGGGGATGTCCCGCAGGTTAGTTGGCGGTAGTCTTGGGGTGTTCCGATGGTGTCTCGGTAAGTTCGTGTCCCGATGGTGTCTCGATGGTGCCCCGATGGTGCTCCGATGGTGTCCCGATTGTGCCTCGATGGTGTCCCGATGGTGTGCCGGTGGTGTTCCGTTGACGTTCCGGTGGTGTCACTTATTAGTCTCTAGGGCGTCCCGATGGGGCCCCATCGTGACACCGATGGTGCGGTCGATCATGAGACCGATAGATCGATAGTGAGATCGACGAAAGGTAGTGAGATCGATTGCTGAACCGATAGTGAGACCGATAGTGAGACCGATAGTGAGATCGATAGTGAGATCGATGGTGATATCGGCAACGAGACCTATACTGAGGCCGATTGTGAGATCGATAGACAGATAGTGCACGGATGGACCACAAGGGTGTCCCGATGTTGTCCCATGGTGTTCTGATCGTGTCTGGTGGCATTTATTGCTAGGGACTTACGGCCCGTGCCGCCGACCCTGAAGACGACGACGATGAATACGAGGAGGAGGAGGAGGAGGAGGAGGGGGATTAAGGTTGAATGGAGCAGGAGATGACGCCGACGCTTCCCTTCGCACACGTTCCTCCTCATCCCCTGTCTCATTACACTCAGATCACTCATGCGCAGGCGCACTTGCATTCATATTACACATACCCAGACGCACTCACACTCAGGCTCACTCATATTCATGTTCAACACGCAAGGTCACTCATACGCATTCAGATACAATCTTGTTCAGGTATAATCTGGCCCAGATACACTCACACTCAGACCCATTTCTCCCACCCAGGCACATGCACACTCAGAGTCACTCTCACTCAGACCCACTCACACTCAGGCTCACTCACCCAGACCACTTACCCTCGGGCTAGCCTCACACTCAATTTGCGAGGATATCTCAAGCGAGGCGCTGATCTCAGCACCCCAAGGGGGGGGGGCGCCAGGGGGTATTTCATGGGCACGGTGGCGCCCAGATCGAGGGGGTGTCTGAAGCGGTTGGCCTGTTCGGTGGCTTGAATTTCAGTGCGTTCAACGCAGACTGTAAGGCTGCCTCAAGCGAGGCGTTGGGTTCAGCACCCCTGGGGGGAGGGGGGCCAGGGAGTATCCCACGGGCCCGTTCGCACTCATATTGCTGGGATGTCTCGGGCGGGTTGCATGTTCGGTCGCTTGGTTCTCGGCGCTTTCACTGAGAAATATGAGGATGCCTCAAGTGAGGCGCTGGCTTCAGCACCCCAAGGGGGAGCCGCCAGGGGGTATTTCATGGGCCCGACTGCGCCCACGTTATGGTGATGTATCAGGCGGTTTGCTTGTTTGGTGGCTTGGACCTCGGTGCTTTCAGAGCAGACTGCGAGGCTGTCTCAAGCGAGGCGCTGGTTTCAGCACTGCAAGTGGGAGCCGCCAGGAGGTATTTCTAAGGCCCACTCGCGCCTAGAATGTGGGGATGGGTTGTCTTAGGCGGTTTGCCTGTTTGGTGGCTTGGACTTCGATGCTTCCAGAGCAGATGGTGAAGATGTTTCAAGCGAGGCGCTGGTGTCAGGGTATGTATCGAACGAGGTTCTCGGATTTGCACCTCCGACCCCTGTCCGTTTAGAGCCAAGTAGTGATTTCGATGTGGGAAATTGACGGCCGCCAGGACGTGGGTGGAAGGACGGAGGAGCAAGCAGGAGGACGCAGGAAGAGGGAGAAGCGAAGAGCGAGGAAGAGAAGGGAGGGGGCAAGACGAGAAGGAAGAGGAAGGAGAGAGGAGGGGGGATGCTCACCACCTGCCTGTCTGTGAGTTGTCCTCGTCGCTGCCCTTCATCGTAGCCGCCGCCGTCGTTGGCGTAGCACTCGTCGTCCATCCGGACCCGCTCTCACACCTAGACGCTCACGGCCAGACACTCATAGCGGAACGTGCCAGGAAACGTGATGCACACACGGGGGTTTCAGCGTCGAATAATTCGGGTGAGTGGGGGGCGGGGGGGCAAGATGGTGGAAGCATGCGAGCTATCTTTTGGGCCGCGTGGAAGCCACAATGGGACGCACGGGGACGCACAGTAAGCATACATTCCTAAGGCTGTGTACGAGCGTTTCGCCAGAGGGGGTCCCATAGGGGTAAAAACAGCCACAGGAGAGCCCACCAGGGGGGACGGGAAGCCCGAGGCCGCCTCGGTCAGAGGCTGTCTGGCAGCGGTTTCGGTTTAGACGTCCTCACAATGTAGTCAAATGTTGCTCTCGCTCAAGGCTGGCTTCATTTTTTGGTCTGGACTCCTGTGATCCCTTGTGCACACTGGCGTGTCCTCACCCCCTGTTACGGCTACATCTGCTTTATGAACCCATAGGGATACATAGGAACGAGCATGTTTACGAGCCGTCCTGCTACTCATCGACCCACCTATTCACCGTAGCTGCTACTATGCTGCTTTGCTGGGGTAGTATGTTTTATCTGTTGTGCGTTGTTTCTTGTTGCCATCTCAGGTCGTCTTGGGCCATCTTGGCCGTCGTCGGCTCCTGGGGCCCTGTCTATGCCTTCTTGGGCCCTCCTGGGGGCCTCTTGGAGGCCTCTTGGGCCCCCAGGGAACTGTTCCCGCGACCCTTGGATGGCTCTTCTTGGCGCCGCGGGCCCTGAGTAATCAGCAGAAGAGAGACAAGAGACACTGGCAACACGTCGGTCCAGCAATTCTTGACGCTTCGCGTACCCCCACCATCCTTTTGTTGTCAATTAGTAGGCCCCGCGACCAAAAAAGTACCCCCACCATCCAGAAGCCATTGCTGGGAGAGCGAGTTGCTAGTTTGAGGGCAGTGTTGGAGCGCGCAGTGGAACGGGCCGCCGTGGAAGCGCACTAGGGGCGCAGAAACAGTGGACACGTTTGTTGAGTCGTATGACACATGTTCCCCTGCTGCCTCGGCTTTCTGTTGTTCTTCTGGGGTGAGTTCTCGGAGTTACCTGGCATGTCTTGACAGATCTGGAGGAGCTTGATGCGCAGGCAGGCGAAAAGGAGGTTGGGAGGCGGAGGTGGAGGAGGAGGAGAAGGGGGAGGAGGGAAAAGGGAAAAGGGGCGGTGGCTCTTCTTGGTGTCGTGGGCCTGTGGTAATCCGCAGAGAAGAGACAAGAGGCACTGGCAACACGTCCGTCCAGCAATGTATCTCGCAGCCTTGCGCCGCCACGGGGGCTGGCGGATCGGAGGGCCTCCACGTGCTCTTGTGTGCGTCACTGCAAGGCGTTTTGGTCATTAGCGTCTGGGGGGCACTTGGGGCTCTCGCGGGGCCGTTTGGCCACCCTCCTGACCGCCTTGGGCCATTGGCCCACGTTCCTGACCGCCTTGGGCCAATGGCTAGGCCTGGCAGGGGCGCCCAGGAAGCCGTGAAGGCCTGGGAGACCCAGATTTTTCTGTTGGGGGGGGGGTCCCGAGGAGAAAGAGAAGGAGGAGGCACAGGGGGACACTGGAGGAGCACCGGCAGCAGGGGGGCCACTGCAGCAGGAGCAGGAGCAGGAGATGAAGTATTCTTTCTCGCCCTGCGAGCCCATTCTCCCCGCGTCGCGTCGTGGATGGACGACGAGGAGGGGTGTGTATATGCATATATCTATAGGTATATTCACACACTTGTAAATACATGCATGTAGATATATATAGAGAGAGAGAGAGAAGGAGAAACAGAGAAACAGACAGACAGAGAGAGGCATGCACATAGAAAGTGCGCGTGTGCGGAACAGAGCCTTCCTTGTCGGTGTTTGCGCGAGCCATTGGCAGGGGCAATTGCGTTATCAATGGTGCTGCAGCCGGGCACACCAGACTTGCAAGCAGAACGTGCTTGCTATAGGTTTTAGGTAAGCGTCTGACCAGTATCAATTTTTCCCACATGGCTCGTGTTGCTCGTCGGTTCTATCAGATGCCCGTCTGGCGCTAATTGTGATTTAGACGGAGCCCCACGTGGAAGAGTAACGTTGGTGGCAGTTTCGCAGAGCCTGGTGGTTCTGCGGACCCATTCCAAGCTTGATGCTTTTATTTGGGGCTCCGTGTTCTGACCGTCCAGCAAAACATTGCTGGTCACACGAGGCAAAGGGACAGTTATCTTCAGCGTGTAGTGCCGTCTGGAGACTGCGGAGTGGAACGACCTTTACGCTCCCAGTTTCAAGCGCTGCTCACCTGTAGATGGTGAGAGGATGTCTAGTTCCAGGGGCTGTCAATTGAGAGGTTCGCGCGAGTGGAAGTGATTGTAGCCGCAGTGACGGTCAGCGAAGGGCAAACGATCAACCATCTGCATGAACTAGCAGACCAATCACCGCGCTTCACCGACCAGTTCAGAGCCCCTGGTGGTTGCACTCAACTGTTTAAGGAATTTGCTTCCGAGATCAGGAAGCGCATGGCCTCCTCAGCATTCAAGTGTGAGCCTCTCCTCGCTCCTCTCTATTGTTCTTCCTCCTTCTTCTCCTCCTCCTCCTCCTCCTCTTCCTCCTCCTCCTCCTCCTTCTCCTCCTCCTCCTTCGCTTCCTCACCCTTCGTCACATCTTCGCATGGAGCCGTCCGCATGCATCCGCTGCTGCATCCGCGCGTCCCGTGCATTTGTTTCGGCCATTCATGAACTGGCATGTGCGCATGCAAGTGCTGCTCATTATGTGCACTCGCCCGCGTGCTTGTGCATGCGGCTGCAACAGAGACCGCCTGTTGCAGCTACGGATGTGAGGTATTTGCGCCGTTTGTTTGGGGCAAAGTGTGTTGTTTCTGTTAGTGCCACCGGAGTATGTCCGCCTCCCTTGCCCGCGTGGGTGCGGTGGCCCTGTGGTGTTCCTGTGATTCCGCGGTGGTCCAGATGTTGGCCCTCTCTTGGTGGCCCTGGCTGCCCTCATAACGTGCTTTAGGAAGAGGTGGTTCCACGTTCTTGTTCAAGGCGAATAGTTGCTGCTCCGATGCTGGCTGCCTTCGGCTCATCAAATTTGTCGTGGCTCGTTGCTTGGACGTCTACGCCCCTTCCGTGAGGCTTCGCCACGCCCGTAGTCATCTCATGTCGGTGTCAACGTTAACTCCAATGACAAAACATAATTCGTGTACCATATCCGACATCCGAACATCTCATGAGAACATTGCTGTCATCCGGATCGGCCAGCATGCGAGCAAGTTGCCTGATACAAGTTTGCTAGAAAGGTGGGCTCTCCCAAGCACTGGTTTCGAATTCAAACGCGCTCAGTGTTTGACAGCGGCTGCACCCACATTTGGCGTGTTTGATCCCAAAGGTTGAAGACTTCCATGCGAGTGTAAGTGGATTGTCACCAGCGTTTCAGGCACTGGGACCTACTCTGACATCCCAGCTATAGTCGAGCAAATCCAGAGGTGGGCCGAGTGGGTGACACAGTGCTAGCACAATCAGAAGAGGAAGACGAGGAGGGGGATTAGAAGGCGGAAGGCTAAAGTTAGGGCGGCTCGAGATTGGGAAGTTGTCCAGTGAGACACATAGGGTACACCGTTTACCTGCGCATGCGCCTGCCAATGTCGTGAATTTTCCCTCCTCTCTCTCTCCGTCGCTGTTTCGCGCTTGTTTTATATTCCATCGCGTGGTTTTCCTCGGGGGGCGAATCCCGAGCCAAAATCCGTTCGTACTCTGTCCCCGGACCCCTGCACGAATCCATCCTGGCCAGTTTACATCTGACGGTCCCGGAGCTCGAGATAAACCCATTGGCGAAAATCCCATTCAAATGTCTTCCTCCTCTTTCTCGTCGTCCTCCTCCTCCTCCGCCTCCTCCAACTCCTCCGCCTCCTCCTCCTCATCCTCCTCCTCATCCCTCTTCCTCCTCCTCCTCCTCCTCCTCCTCCTCCTCCTCCTCCTCCTCCTCCTCCTCCTCCTCCTCCTCCCCTCCCTCCTCCCCTCCCTCCTCCCCTGCCGCGCATGTCGCCGAGTTGCCAAGTCTCGCCAAGCTCACTGTGCCAGGGGCAGGACAAAGCGACTGCCTCGGGTCGAGCTGCGAGCGCCGCGCCGGCCAACTTCTCCGCCCAGGCAGTGCGAGCCTCGCTCGCGTGCCTCGGTCAAGATTGAGCGTACCAGATCGAGCGCGGGGGCCACTGACAATCCAGGCGGCCGCTCGGCGAAAAGTTCAGCAAAGATGGCACTGGCATGCACTCGTTTGAGGTCCGCGCGGAGTTCTTGGGACGGCGCGGGGCCCTCCATCACCGCACCCGTTACCCAGCATGCGAAGAGCGCTGGGGGCACGGGTCCGGAGGCGCCGCCAGGGGTGCAGGGAGGGTCTCCAGACCCCAAAAGTCGGACCAGGCGTTCCGAGATTGATGTGCTCACGTTTGTGTTGTTGCTGTTATCACTGCTGTTCTTGTCTGTTGCAGGTCCTGCCTGGATCGCCCCGCCTTCCCTCCTCTCCCCCCCCACGCACACCGCCCGCATGTGCCTGCCCGCTGCGCCTCCGAGACAGAGCGGGTAGGTTCTCGGCCTTTCTGTCCCCCACTAAGTTTGGACATGCTTTGTGCACCCTCCGATGCCCCCCTCCTCTCTGTCTGTATGTTGGCATGCCTGTCTTCCTGCGGTCTCCGTCTGCTTGCCTCCCTCTGCTTCTCCCCGCGTGCGTATCCGTCTGCCTGACAGAATGTATATTTGTCTGTCTGTCTGTCTGTCCGTCTGTTTGTCTGTCTGTCCGTCTGTCTCTCTGTCAATCTGTCCGTCGGTCGGTTTGCCCGCAGCGCGCGGGATCGATGCCTCACGCTTTTCTCTTGAGAGACAGTGTGTCCGTTGATATGTTGCTCGCCCTGCTTGTCTGTCCATCTGCCTGACTCTCTGATTGCCTGCGTCCGTCCATCTGTGGGTTCCGCTCCACCCGGACAGGCTCGCGTGCACAGCGAATTGGGGATTGAATCGATGTGTTCTCGGTGTTCCGTGCGGCTGGTTTTGGCCCGATGTGTACGAGGGCCGCCTCGCAGCGACAGCCCTTTGGGCCGAGGCGTTTTCGACGGAAAGGGGGAGAGCGAGAGAGCGAACACAGTCTCCCCCGCGGCGTCCCCTAGTGCAACCAGACCCGCCGAGGCTGCAAAACCAATAATCCGAGTGAGATGTTGGTTGATATGTGGACCACGGATCGGGATCTGCTGCGCTGCGACCGTGGCGCCCGCTGTGACCTCGGGCAGGTGAGATGTCCTCCTCCTCCTCAGAGGCAGGCTGGCTCCTAGACGTTCATCCCCCGAACACAAACGAGAACATCATGCAATAGACTCATGGTTCATGGTTGTCGCTCAGGGCTCCCCGAAAGTATCTGGTGGCCCGAAGCCCCAATGGCAACCCGTCTGTTCCCCGCGTCCACATCGAATGGCGAAACCAGCTGACCCCAGAGGCGGCATAACAGGACCATCCAACGCAAATAACAAAACGGTTGGAATGCTGCGAATCTGAGCATTAAGATGCACCGAACGAGCAGAGCGTAATCACCAGACCAGTATAGGAGTCGGCGTGCATGACAGGGCCAGCAATCGGATCGGTTGGGGGAAGAATGAACACCCGAACAGAAAAGCCGGAGGGGCCATGGGGATGCTCATCCATTTCCGCAACTCCAGCCATGAGGCGTCCTGAGGCCGCCAGGTATTTTGGTTCAAGGTGTCCAGCGGGGCTAAGGCAGGCGACGCCAGCTGGGGTCAGGCGCCGTCCAGGGAAGCCCGACGACTGCAAGATACCGAGTTGTATAATTGTTGGATTCGCCGCCAGTGGGGGCATGCAACATTGTCGTCCCAGCGGTTGCGCAAATCAATCGATGTTTGCCATATTGGCATCTTGAACGAGATCTTGCACATGTTCATGTTGGTACCGTTCGGAACTACAGAGCCAACGGCGCGATGTCGAACGATAGAGGAGGAGAATGAGGAGGAGGAGAAGGAAAAGGGCAAGAAGGAGTAGGATAAGTAAACAAAGAAGGGGAAGAACGAGGAAGGAGAGGAGGAGAGGGAGAACAAGGACGAGTACACATTGTTCATTTTTGGGGGGGGGCAAGATCCTGTCATTTCTAATTGTTCTATCCTGGGCCTCTTCCTGGCCACTGGGGGGCCAGGAACAATTAGAAACGAGCACACTTAGAAATGAACACGATTGGGAATGAACGACGTGTGCGGAGGAGGAGGAGGAGGAGGAGCAGGAGGAGGAGAAGGAGGAGGAGGAGGAGAGGTAGGTCGAGGATGAGGAGGAGGAGGAGGTGGAGGAGGGCAGCACATCCCCAGCCAAGTGCATCGTTCACGGGCCGTGGCACGGACCCTCCACTTGTAGACGAATTTGTAATTCGGCGGCGCAGAGGGTCCTCAGGCGCGAGCAGCAGATGGAAGTGCGAATTGCGATCGAACGTTGTCGAACGCACAGTGTACAAACCGTGCTCGCTGCCAAGTGCAGGAACGCGTTGTGTGAAAGAGGAGCTGTAAAACCAAGCGAAACGTGCAGCGACCAGAAAACCAAGCAGGCAACTCAACTCGAAGTGAACTGAAGACTTGGAGACGAACACGCACCACCCATCCGACTCTCCACAATCCACAGGTTGAGAGGCGTCCACCACCATCATACCGAGATGGGACCTGCCTCACGGAGGCCCGTCAGTGCGCCATCCTCCCTGTACAAGTTTTGTTCCCAGCAACCTGAAGCTCAAACCACCGAAGTTTGCTCTTGGCAGCTTGCGGCGCCACCAGCTGTCCCTTGCCCTACACCTGACCTCAGACTATCCTTACACCAGATTGCCGCATATATTGCAGCAGCACCGGCAGCTGGACCATTCGCGTACACGGCACACGACACAATCCTAGCACCCACGACGGCGACACTTACAACAGCTATGCTATGCAGTGTGTCCACGGTCATATAGGGCTCCAGGACTTGCCGTGGCATTCTCACCCACAGGCCAACGCTATGCTAGTGGGTCCACGGCAACACAGGGCTTCCAAACCCGCCGTGGCTTTCTCGCCCCCGGAGGATCACCCGACGTTTCGTAGCACCCACAAAGGCGGCTACACCAACAAAGGTTCTTCGATGCAGTGTGTCGACGGTAATACGGGGTTCCAGACCCGTCGTGGCTTCCTCAACCACAGGCCAATGCTATGCTAGCGGGTCAGGGCCCGAAAACCCGCGGAGGTGTTCTCACCCACACATGCTACCTTAGCATTGGATTTTCCCGGGTGGGACCACATACTTTAAAGACCAGTGGGTAGCGTTTTCTCATGCACCTCCTTGGTGATGGCCGTAATCGCCAACATTGCTGGGGCCTCGGAGGCGACAGTACGAAGAGCAAATTATCCACTCTGTCCTTGGAGGGCCCCGGCCAAACTCCAACCTTGACCTCCTCCTGGCTCCACCTGCCTCCAACTGCCTCCCCCGCCACTCACCCGACGAACCTTCCCCTCCATACTCTTGCGGTTGCGGGATCAGGCGGGGAGATCCCGGGGGGGGGGCCTGAGGGGGCAAACACCGCCGGCCGTCTTGGCGAGGACCAGGGCGGCCGCGGCCTGCGGAGCTGCCCACGCCAAGCAACGACCACGGGCTACCGCTGACCGTTGTAGCGTTAGAGGAAGGGCGCAGCTACAGCCCATCTTAGGCTCGCTCGCCGCACGTCGCGACCTATTCCTACAGCCTTCGGCATATCGGCCCACTTCCTGCCTATATTCGCACCCCCACTGCGTTCCGCATAACTATCCCTCTCGCGTTTGCCTCACAGTGCAAGCGCCCAGCCCAGCCGCAGTCCCATGGCAACCGCCTTACCTGTATGGACACAGCCCTATCGCAGCCGCTCGCAGCAACTATGGGAGGTTGGGGGTTATCACGTGCGGGTGGGATTAGGGAAGACCGCCACGCAAACCAGTTGCTCAAGCCACGTACCCCTCCGCCATTTTGCCACCAATTGCATGCACAACGCTTGCGCCACCAGTGGAGGATGGGTTTCATGTTACATGGGGGAACTACCATCCATCCCGCGGCCGCCGCCACGGGATGGCGCAAACCTCCCCGCGCCCGGTGGAAATTCCAACGCGACTCCCAGTCCCTCCCTGAGAACCCTTCGCTTGCCGCGGCAGGTGTTGGTGTGGATGGGGGTCGGATCCCTGGGGCTTCCGCATGGGCGCGGGAGGGCCTTGCGCCATCCCCCTTTGGGCGAGCGTGACCACGACCACACTTTGACAGCCAGCGCTACTAATCATTCCCGCGTCCACCGCAAGCCACCACGCCAGCCTCCCTGCTTCTCCTCCCCCTTGTTCCAGGTTAGTCGTCGCCGCTTCTTCGTTCCTCTCTCCCTCCCCCCCACCAGGATGCAGGGGGCCTAGATGCCCCACCCCTAGGGAGGGTTTGTCGGCTCCCATCTCCTCTCCTTCACTACATCTACCTCGTTTGATCACCCCCCCAGGAGCAATTGCCTCTGGGGGGGATTGCGGCGTCTGTACGACCAGAGTGCCAATGTAGTTCCCAGGAGGAGGAGGAGGAGGAGGAGGAGGAGGAGGAGGAGGACGAGGAGGAGGAGGAGGAGGAGGAGGAGGAGGAGGACGAGGAGGACGAGGAGGCAGGGCAGAACGAGGATCGGGGCCAGTGAGGAAGAAGATGTGGATGAGAGGCAGGAGGGTTAGAGCAGGAGGAGCAGGAGGAGGGGAAGGGGGAAGTAAGGTGTTTGAGTTGCCTGGGGCCTGGGGCCCCGGGGCCCGGGGTCCGGAGTAAGGCGTCCGGCGTCCGTGGCCCGTGGCCCAGGGCCCGGGGCCCGGGGCCCGGTGCCCCAGGCCAAGGGCCCGGCGTCCAGCGACGGGTGCCCGGGACCTGGGGCCCGAGGCCGGGGGCACGAGGTCCCCGGCGTCCAGGGGGCGGAGCTCAGATGCCAAAGAGTGGTTCGTGGAGGGAGGGGCAGGAGTGTGCAGGAGGAGCGAAGGGAGAGGAACGGCAGGAGCAGGGACAGCAGGAGCAGGAGCAGCAGGAGCAGCCTTGCATAGGGAGCGACGCGGGAGGGCGTAGAATGGGCGAGGGCGAGGGAAGGAGCAGCAGAGGGAGAAGCAGCAGGGAGTAACGAAGAGTAGAATGGAATGCTGAAGAGTGGGGTTGATTGTGGAAGGAGGGGTAAGCGTGGGTAGGACGGTGAGTGGGGT